TGAGTCCCCATCCCTGGAAGTATTTAAAAGACGTGTAGATGAGGTGCTTAGGGACATGGTTTAGTGGGCATGGTGGTGTTGGGTTGACGGTTGGACTCGATGATCTTAGAGGTCTTTTCCAACCTTAATGATTCTATGTTTCTATGATTCTAAAGGGTTGTATTTTCTTCTGACTGTTAATATACGCACTTTAGTCTGATTAAAATGGAAGTAGCACTACTGAATAGAATAATGCCAGTGTTGTTAGAGTAATTTATAAGTGAATATTGAATGTTCTATTCCTTACTACATAGCTGAATATCACCGGCCAGATACGGTCGTCCAGAGACAAAGCCAACTTCATCTCCATGATCAGCTTTCACATACTCCAGTTTACTATCCCAGTATGAAGTGGGCCGATGCTGATATTCAAAGAAGTAGGCAGGAGCTCCAGACTCTACAAGACGTAACATTTAGAGTTAAAGAAGAGATGCATAGATTATGGCTGACATCAGCTGTTTAAAATATTAAATATGCCCAAAGCTTTATACTGGGCACATTTTTAATGTAAAGTTACATTCAAATATGTATTTTTATTTTTAATTCAAAATTAAGAACTCACAGCACTTACACAAAAAACTGAAAGATTCAACCCAGGAAAACTTACAGAAAACAAAGTAACATCAAATTATTTTCCAGTTCTGGGTATTTTGGCATGGCTTGTCTACACTTAAATACCAGAAAATCTCCAGACTACAGAGTTGCTGACTTCCCATGTAGCAGTGGGCCAAAGGACAAATTCCAGGTTGCTTTAATATGTTTTAATTTTTAAGTCTGTATACTTCACTTAGCAAACATTCACCCGTGTTATCATGCTCTGCTCTCAATATATTGTGACTATGAGCAGAAGTGCAAGACACTAGTGCAAAGACAAAGGAGTACATACACTTCCTTCACACAATCCTGCAGACCTGTATCACTCTGCACCCCCATCAAGTTCCCAGTGGGAATCTCAAGAAGGGCTGCCTACACACGACAGGATTTGTGTCATTTGATCCAGCATGTAGTAAGAGGTTTTTAAACATTCTATGTATCAATCCTGAATACATGCGTGTAACATCTGTGTGTTGTGGGGGAAAGGACTGGTTTTATTTTTCTTTTGGTAATAAGCCCTTAACTGTTGTATTCTTTTTCCTCTCTCTGACTGGATAAGAGATTAAAATTTTAGGATAAGAAAATACTGTATAAAATTGATGTTCCAAGGATGTCGACTTGCAGGATGAAGCCTATCTCACTGTTTTGTGACCAACTGGTTCTGGGTCACTACAGAATCATAATGCAAGCAAAGTTTATCTTGTATATATTTCCAACAATGCAAAGCCTTTTGGCCATACTTAAAAGCTGTCCTACCAGCAAATAACTTCTCAGAGTTGCCTACAACGGTTAACACAAACATTCAAAAAAATGAAGAATAGCCATTAAATTACAGATCTAATATTCCAGCCAAATTCATTGTTGGTGACTCCTATCATAAATGGGACTGCATTGAATTCCTTTCCAGCCAGTATCTCTTCAGGTGACTTATGAAGAAATACTCCATCCAAAACTAAGGGCAGAAATGGTATTTCCTGAAGGAAGAGAAAAAAAGATGAAGGTACTTGTTAATAGTATTTTCCTCTCCCCAAAGCCTTCTCTTCTCTAGGCTGAACAACCCCAACTCCCTCAGCCTTTCTTCATAGGAGAGGTGTTCCATCCCCCTGATCATTTTTGTGGCCCTCCTCTGGACCCGCTCCAACAGGTCCGTGTCTTTCCTGTGCTGAGGGCTCCAGAGCTGGAGGCAGTACTCCAGGTGGGGTCTCACCAGAGCAGAGT